CGTCCCAATTTGTTCAGGTAACAACAACAGCTCACAGTCATCGTATCATCACATCGTATCGCATCGTAAGCCACCGCCGTGTCCAGGCCCGGGTGCGAATGGTCCGTCGCCACCCCTACCCCACGACCCCTACCCTTACCCCTACAACCATAATCACAACCACCACCCACACCCTCACCCTCATGCCTCACCCCAAATCTACGCCAACTATCAAGTGATCGCATCGTCTCCATCGCATCGCGACGCAAACAACCTGCAGCTACATAAACTTTCGGATGACGGTCTCAGATATTCAGCTGCATCAGGCGGATCAGCTGCTTCATCCGTGCAAATGAAGCAGTCCAGATATGCGGAATCTGGCTATATTTCGGCAGCGACCACATCAAAGACCTCGCCAAACGGCTCGTCGACGGCCGATTTGAACAGTGGATCACAGTTATCGTTGGCTTCGTCGTCTGGATCAGTCTATTCGACGGTACGTAAACTTTGATCATTTAGATCAGATCAGAAATGTTATTAACGGAAGTGAATTGATGGTTTCATTGTGATCATTATTGATCACTGATTATTGGTTATTGATTGATCAAGTGATTGATCGGTTGATTGGTTTAGATGGAAGAGCGTTATGAGGCCGAGATCAGGAAGTTGAATCGTGAGATGGAATCCTATAGGCAGACAATATCGAAGCTCACCGCGAAACATGATGGCTACAATCATTTGATTCAGTTGTTCGACAATAAACTACATCAGATGGCCAAGCATGTGGAGAATCTGCAGAATAAATCGCAGTTCAAGGTGAGCTGAATGATCGTGATCAGGTCATATTGACTGATCAATATCGATTGTGATCGATTGATTGATTTAGAAAGAAGAAGTGGTAAAGCTACGATCGGAAATCGATGATCTACGTGTGATGAGCATTACGGCGGCTGGAGNGGCTGGAGTGAGTCTTACCGCACCCGCAGCAGCTGCTCCCCTCCAAGTGGGTGGTGGCCAAACTTCGGACTGTGCTCAGCATCGAAAATGCTCTACACCTCAGCAAACGGTTGGTATCGTATTATTGTATTATAATTACCCCCCCCCCGCTCCCCGGTTCAGATTGTATCATACTATTGTAGGATAAGTTAAAAGTAAGTAATTGTTGTTCCAATATTTCAGGTAGATGGCGCAGGTGAGCTGCTCAGGCATCCATCACTGGAGAGTTTGACGAGTCATCGTTCGTCGATGAGTTCGTCGAGTAAGGGCAGTAAAACNAGCAGCAGAAACGGAGTTGGGTGTGTGATAGTGAATATTGATTAATATTTTGAGTGAATTATTCAAATTTGCTCACCATATTCTGTTGCAGCTCTATTTTTGCTTTTTTCGGCAATCAAATGAGTTTGATTTCTTGGAATAACTTTCTTATCTGATCGATTTGGATCAATCACCCATATTTATTGTGTCTTTATTTTCGAATACAGGCCACGAATGTAGACGTACAGGTATATTACATTATAGAATGCTTATGATCGAATATGTATCGTTGATATGTTAATGGATGCACTTATTGTATATGTTTTGTGATACACCTATTTCTAATCTGAGTATTATTATTATTATTGTGATGGTGGTAGCTTGTGTTATTGTATTGGAGCACTTTGTGATGAGTATTCATTGTGGTGATGGTGGCGGTCAGTTTGCCAAACGGTGATTGTGCTGGGAAGAATTGCCAAAAAACTGAATAAGCAAAGGAAATTGTTTTAGATTCGTAGTTCTCTATCGAAAGCGTTCACGAAGGGTGGTGCTAAGAAGAGTGGGAAGAGTGGCCAAGGCCATGGCCTGGGCTCAGCAGCATCGGACAGCGCCGACTCGCAAAGCCTAGGGGTGATACACAACGGATCAGCATCGAAACAGAACCCTAGTGCAACGAACGGAAGCAGCAATCGGTCAGTTCTAGTCATTGTATTATTCTGCATTGGTGGTGAGCGGTTGCTTCTTCTGAATTGAATTTTTGGAAAAATGACCCATTTTTGGAATAAGTTGTAATGGATGATATTTAAGGTTGACTGAGCTGGATTCAACACCTCAGTTGGTCGAGTTGAAGAAGCAGCTGGAGGATAAAGATTCCGCGTTAACGGACGTTAGACTGGACGCACTGGATAAGGCACGTGAGGTGGACATCCTCAGGGAGATGATTAACAGATTAAAGGTTTGTTTACCTGTTTACTTAATTGTTTACTTGTTTTTTAATGATTATTATTGTCGTTCTTTGCAGAATGAGAATAAGCTGCTGAAGCAAAACTTTGTGATGCTCGAACGTCGTGTACGTACCGATAGCCGTACCAGCTCCCAACAGTCTCTATCGGCCGTGACCGATCCCGAAGACCCGGTCTATGAGGTGCCTCCACCCAATGAGCCGCTTACTGCTGCTGCTGCTGCCCATTCGGCAGTACCGACGACGAGTTGCGTTCGGGTGAGTGTGAGTGTGGAATTAAGTGGTGTGATGCAGCGAACGGGCAGATGCGCGAATGAAATATCCATTGGGTCAATCCCCTTGCCGAGCCAAAACACCACGTGGATGCAGCTGGACGCGTCCATTCGCCATTTATTTAAGGTTATTTTTTATTGTTATTATTATTATTTTTATTATTGTTGTGGATATATTGCAGCACTATATTTTGTATATTGCAGCATGATATGGAGTATATTGCAGCGTTATATTGAGTTTATTGCAGCATTATATTCAACGTGTTGATCCAAATGGAGTGTTGGGTCTGGAGAGTGATCAGGCAATAATTGGCTACGAATTTGGTGATTTCATACGCGATATTGAGACGGCCTCAGCACCTGCACCAAAACCGATAGATGCAATTGGGCGTAATACACAGCTGAGGATCTTTTTGAGAGGTTCGGATTTGGATGCTGACATATTGATTGATCGATTGATAAATGATTGCTGATCAAAATATCAATGTTTTTGATTTGATCGATCTTGATCAATTTGAGCGCGCGCGTGCAAGCGCGGCAAAAATCAGATCTTTTTTTCTCTGTCGTCTCTCCACGGCTTGGCCCTATAAAAGGTGACAGTGTCACCGAGCAGTCATTGTTGGTTGTGTTCGCGTGATGAGTGGTTGGTTGTTTAGTGGTTCGACAGAGCTGGCTGTGCTAGACGTTGTCGGGTGATTGATTGATGGGCTGATCAACTGATTGATCGATATGTGATTGCTGATCACTTTTTGATCAGATTGTTGTTTAAGGTGTGGCACAACGATGTCTAGATGGTCTCATATTGGATTGTCTATTCCCGAGAGTCGTCCTGGAACAACTCCTCAATATTCTCCTCGAGCATCGACGTCTGATATTGTTTGGTGCCACTGGTATTGGCAAATCGAATCTGGCACGTCAGCTAGCCAAATATATCAGTTTGAAAATTTGTTCCGTGAAAGATGACTGCAACAGTGGAATTGAGACGACTGCAGGAACGAGTGTGGCTGCTCAAGAGTGTGTTGTAGAGATCAAAATTGGTGATGAGGAACCCGATAGGAACATGGCACAGGTCAGAATTGGCTTTGAAATGCGATAGGGGATGGGAAATTACCTGGATTACCTGGTACTCAAGGTAATCCTGGTAATATCTGGAGTGTTACCTGGATTGTATCAGGTAATCATACCTGAAGTGAATAATAATAGTAGTATGGATAATTCAGGTGCAAAAGCAACTGGAATCACTATTACGATGCCCCAAGCCGAATGTCATTCTCATCGATAACATTCAACGGCATCGTATCGCCCTACTAAGCGCCTCGTTCAGTTCAGTGGATACACCCGCAAAACAAGGACCTTACGTCATATGTACGGTCAACAGGGCATCGCAGTTACCCGAAATGCAGGTAAATGTTGTGGTGGATTACCCACTGGGTAGCTTTTGTTGGGTATTTTAGTTTCTAATGATTGATATATTTATTTAGATGCATCACAACTTTCGGATGTTCCTTTTACCCAACAACGTGGATTCGATACGAGGCTATATGGGCTGCTTTTTGCGTAGACGTATCTTAGAGGGTGAATTCCATGACGGCGACCATGCAGAGGAGGATATCTACCGTGTTATCGAGTTCCTGCCCAATGTATTGGCATCAGTCAATGCGGTCAGTTCATTTCTTGATCGCTGTTGTGATCGTTTTCAATCAATCGATATGGATCAGTCTCATCGATCAATCAATAACTCATTTCTGATTGCAGTTCATCGAAAAGTCGAACTCGCGTGATGTGACCATTGGTCCACGTCTGTTTCTGCAGTGTCCACTGGATTTGGAGCAGTCAAGGGAGTGGTTTATTAAGTTGTGGAATCATATGATTATCCCGTATATGGTCAAAGTGGCTAAAGAAGGTCTCAATTTTCATGTTTTGTCTTAATTTCGCTTAATTCTTCATATTATATATGAAATTAATTTTTTCATAGCGATTTTCATGTTTTTAACGATTATCTTGCAGGCGTAAAAGTCTTGGGACGGTGTGGCTCATTTGAGGACCCCACCGATCTGGTGTGTGAACAGTGGCCATGGCTGGAGGGTGAGGCAGCCGAGGAGGTCTTGAAGCGATTATCGATCAAGGAATCGATCGATCAGCAAGATAGCAGAAGTAGTAACTATTCGAGTAATACAAACAACGGCAGTATCCAGCAGTTCGACCCGCTGGAGGCTCTGATCAGGATCCAGTCGAATAATGCATCGTCTTCATCATCGTGTTCGAATGCTTCAACACAACAGCAACAACAACGAGTTGTCTAGGCGAAAGCGTTTTGCCATCATTATTGATCAGTGATCAGTGGTGATCACTTGATCAATCGATATTCTGCGATCAGTCCAGGCACGCAGATCACGTCTTCTTTATTTGTTTCATTATAATGATGTGGTATGAGCAAATTCGGTGTTAATCTCATTCTAATCCACGTGTTTTTATTGTGTTCTCCATTGCGTCTCTTTTATAGTGGCATTGTGTATCTTTTTGCAGTTTGCAGTTGTATTTCTATTAATATTAATTAGATAATTAATTAAGAAAATTGAATCGGTAATTTAAATTGTGAGAACATTTAAAACGCCTTAATTCACTTATGATTTTAAATGATTTTAATACGACGACTGACTTTAAGAAGGTGCATTTGGTCATTTCGTTATGATTATATCGATACGAATACTCTTATTATTGTTTTTATTATTATTATTGTTATTATTATTGTTGTTAATTTGATGAAATGGGATGTATTTTGTTGTGAGCGGGTTGAAAATTTTGTATTTTTATTTGTATTTTCTGTTTTTTGAAATGGAATCAAATCGAATTATTCGTAATCAATGAATCGATTTGATATAATTTGTAATCAATCAATGAATCGATTTATGATCAATCAATCAATCAATCAATCGATTTCTTATAATAGTATTAATGCTATTCTCTCTGTTATCAAACTGCCCTAACTGCCGTTTTTTTACGATGATTTTGTAGAATGTGCTGACTTTTGTACAGTTTTATCATCAATTGTATCTTTATCATTGCAGTCAGTCGTTATAATTCACTCTTATTCATAATAATAATAATAATAATTATTATTATTATGAATATTATTTTTATTATTATTATTGTAACTAATATTGTGATTATATTATTATTATTATATTGTTGATAAAATAGTAATTTATCAGGCCATAGAGGAGTGTGTATTGCATTGCAATTTGAGTGGAATTGTTATCAGTTGATTTGCTTTGTTTTGAAGACTTTTGCAGAATATTTGAGGAATATTTTTGTATGATTTTTATAGTTTTATATTTATGACGATTATATTTCACATTTTTACAGCTATGATTGATATATTTACGGATTCTTATGAAATGATTTATTTTTAATAATATTTTTTTGAAAAAAATTTTTATGATCTGTAAAAATATGATCGCTGGAAAATATGATCACTTTTTATTAATCTGATTAGAGCTATCAATCAATTGATCACGATATTTTTATCACGTCATTTGCAGTGTCAATCAAACGATAGACATTTGTAGTCTTATCGAGTACACTCTTATCTGTTTTCTGCTTTCGGTTATATAGCTGCAACAGCTGCAGCAGTTATTTATTTATGTATTTATATTGTTATTTTTATGATTTTTATTACTTTTATATGATATTTAGTTGTTATTTACAGTTACTATTATTTTTATTAGAGTTATTATTTTATATGAGAACACGATGAATCAGAGTGGCTGTGTATATAAGTGATGGTATCACACCACCATCCGTATTATCAGTGGTTTAGAGCTGCAGTTTGTAGGAATCGTCCAATATGAGTGAGTGTTTTCGTATTTGATTGCTGCTGCTGCTGCTGCATTAATTAATTGTTGATTAAGTTATTCAGTAGCAATTTGTTACTATTGTGATTATTAATTAATTGAGTGTTAATTAATTTAAGTATTAATTAATATTATATAATGAAAGGTATCGCTGAGATTCAAAAGTTACACGATGATCTGAGTGCGTTGAGGAAGGCCGGCAAATACGAGGAGGCTCTGAAACACTGCACTGAGGACTGCTATTTCATGACTCCACTGAAGTCGTCGTTTAGTGCCAAAGGTATCATTTAATCCGTTAATAGTAATAACATAGCAATAGTAATAGTAATAATAGTAATAGTAATAAAATCAATAATAATAACAATAATAATAATAAAAATACTTTTAAGAGGCCCTCGAAGTGGTTAAGAATCCCGCCGTTCAGGAGTATACTAAGGCTGAATCGAAGGTGACAGTTGACGACGTTAAGGTGTGACTCTTTTATTTGATTCTTTAAATATTATTATAAAATTATAAAATATAAATCAATACTTTAAAATTTTGAGGTCACGGGCGATTTTGCAGCCGATCGAGGACATTTCGTGATCCAGAAAGACGGTGAAAAGAAGGGAAGGTAGGGACTGAATTAATTGATTAATTAATTAGTTAATTAGTTAATTAATTGCTCGACTGAACTAATGAAATTAATCTGCAGTTACCTGGCAATCTGGAAGAAGGATGGCGATTCCTGGAAACTGGCTGCAATATGCTCTAACTTCACCCTGGAGCAGTGAACGCGATCGATTTTAGTGACGATTATTATTATTATGGATTAAAAAAGTGATTATTTGTTGTTATGTTATGTGCACGAATTAAATAAATTAATTAATTACTAATTAATTGTATCAATTATCAAGCACAAATACATTAATATTAACACTAACAACTAACATCGTAACTCACCTACTAATTCACTCACGTACACGTGCATGGAACTTTTGGAATTTTGAATTTGAAAAATTTGCATGAATTTGAAAAATTTGGAAAATTTGAAAATTTTTTGGGAATCTGGAAATTCTATGTGGAAAAAATTCTGTAGAGAAATTTGAAAATTGAAAATTTGAATTTTGAACTCGGTTCGGAATGAAACGATCCTGTTTTTAAGGGAAATTCAAGAATAGTCGCGTAAGATACAAAAGTTCAAAGGTCAGGATCTAGCAATGAAGGCGTCGAAGATTCAAGAGATCAATGATTCAAGCACCAGAGATTAGGATTGATAAGGCAGGATCAGCGACGGAATTTGACACTGGAGATTTGGGATAGTGGGAATGTTTGAAGCTGCAAGAAAATGATGATGAGTTTGAATTTGAATTCAAACTGGGGTCCTGCGACGACTGCGAACGCGCCACTTGGCAGTTGAGTTCGCGGGCGGGTTGGNATTTGGTGTTCGGTGTGGTTCGGGAGGGTGGGGGGGTTTTTTGTGGCTGAGAATGGTGTTTTGGGGTGATTTCAGGTGATTTTACGCGATTTTGAACACGTATTCCCATATTGTAATGCGATATTTAGATAGGATCGCTTTAGATCGATTTACATTATTGGTTTGATTGATTTATTGTGATATTATTATTTC